CTGGAGCTGGAGCTGCTGGAGGTGCTGGAGATGGTGGTACTGCAGGCATTGGAGCTGGAGACCCTGGAGCTGGGGGTACTGGTGCTGTCGGTGCTGGTTCTGGAGGCACTGTGCGGCCGCGACCGTACTTCGTTCCACTGCTTCAGCAGGTTCTTGGTCTCCCGCCTTCTACTGGCCTTACTCCTCCCTTACTGTGTCCACCGCCTGACCAGTCGCAGCCGCAGTTACAGCCAGCCTCCCCACTGCCTGCTCCTTCTCCTTACACTGAGCACACAGGCGGTTTAGGAGAGCGTCGTGAGCCTGCGTCTCGTCCTGCGTCGCCTGTTCGCGCTGTTCACACTGGTCATCGTGTTCTGCGTCCGCGTCCTCCTCCTGTCCCAGGCACGCACCAGATGGCACTTCGTCCTTCCTCTGTTCCACAGCGTGTCCATCTGTTGTCTCCTCCTGCGTCCTCTCTTCCTGACGTTGCTGACCCGCCGTCAGACCTTGCTCGTGCTGCCAGTCCTACTGTCACACGTCTTCTCGCCACTCTTGTCACTAACCCTTCGTTTGAGTCCACTGCTGCGTCTGCCCTAGTTGCTGAGCTTGTTGACTTTGCTGCCGCCTGTCGCCTCGACTACGCCGCTAGTCTTGTTGTTGAGTCTGAGTCTGTCTGTCCTCCGTCCGTCGGGGGTGAGTGTGCTCTTGGCACGGACGTCCTTGAGGACAGGCAGGAGGACTTTGAGTGTTTTGCAGCTGCTGTACCTCATCTCGTGTCCATGCTGATTGCACCTGAGGGAGACCCGGATGCACCAGACATCCCGACCCCGCGCTCTTACGCAGAGGCGATTGAGGGTCCCTACTCCTCTCAGTGGGAGACAGCCATGGACGCAGAGATGGCTTCCTGGATGTCCACAGGCACCTACGTCGACGAGGTTCCCCCACCTAGGGCGAACATCGTCAGTGGCATGTGGATTTTCAGGGTGAAGCGGCCGCTGGGTTCTCCGCCTGTCTTCAAGGCGCGTTACGTTGCTCGAGGCTTCAGTCAGCGACAGGGAGTTGACTTCTTCCATACCTTCTCCCCTACCCCGAAGATGACCACTCTTAGGGTGCTGCTGCACGTCGCTGCTCAGCGTGACTACGAGCTTCACTCTCTTGACTTCAGCACAACCTTCCTACAGGGCAGCCTGCACGAGAGATCTGGCTGCGCCGCCCACCTGGATTCACTGGGTCGTTTCCTGCAGGTACCCAGTGGAGCCTCCGGCGGCCAGTCTACGGTCTCCGCCAGGCGCCTCGCGAGTGGCACGACACACTGAGGACGATGCTTGCGGCTCTTGGGTTTGCTCCTTCGACTGCTGACCCGTCGCCGTTTCTACGCACCCACACTTCTCTGCCGCCGTTCTACATCCTCGTGTACGTCGACGACTTGGTCTTTGCCACTGCTGACACTGCGGGACTGGCCTTTGTGAAGTCGGAGCTGCAGAAGAGACACACGTGCACAGACATGGGTGAGCTACGCACCTATCTTGGCTTGCAGATCACCCGGGACAGAGCACAGCGCACCATTACCTTGACTCAGTCACACATGGTGCAGCAGGTCCTTCAGCGCTTCGGCTTCACGTTCTCCTCGCCACAGTCCACTCCTCTGCCTACCGGTCACTCGCTCTCAGCTCTGCCTTCGGATGAGTCCGTAGAGCCGAGTGGCCCGTATCCAGAGCTTGTGGGCTGCCTCATGTACCTGATGACCTGCACTTAACCTGACCTTGCCTACCCTCTTAGCATCCTGGCACGATACGTTGCGCCCGGGAGACACCGAACAGAGCACTGGGAGGCTGCTAAGAGGGTGTTGCGCTACTTGTGCAGTACGTCGGGCATGGGGCTCGTGCTTGGAGGACGGGCTCGAGTTGTCCTCACTGGCCACGCAGACGCTTCTTGGGTTGACGACTTGGCTACGCAGCGGTCGTCACAGGGTTACACTTTCAGCCTTGGCTCCGGCTCTGTTTCGTGGCGGTCTACCCGCTCATCTTCTGTTCTCAGTTCCAGTTGTGAGGCTGAGATCTACGCAGGGGCCATGGCTGCACAGGAGTTACGCTGGCTCACCTACCTGCTGACCGACTTGGGAGAGCCGCCTCGTTCTCCTCCAGTTCTGTACGTAGACAACAAGGACATGATTGCCTTGTGTTAGGAGCACAGACTGGAGAACAGGACGAAGCACATTGCTTTGCGTTACTTCCTTGCTCGAGAATTGCAGCAGCGTGGTCAGCTTCGTCTTGCTTACATGGCCACTCTGGCCAACACTACTGATGTCTTCACTAAGGCCCTTGGGTCTGGTGATCATCAGCGTCTCTGTACTGCTTTAGGCCTTCTGCCTGCTTCGTCTCACTTGCTCGCTGCTTGACTTTGCCTGTACTGTGATCTATATACATATACATGCATGCTTTCACTTGCTAGGTTGTGATCACTGTCCTGCTTGTTCTCTTTTATATAACTCTGCATGTGAACTGGCCTTGTGGCCATTTGCTTTTGCTCAGAGTGCGTGGTGACTTTGTGATCCACCCTGAGCTTGCTTCGCGTTTCTTGACTGGTCGTGTGACCTCTTGTTCTCCCCCACTTTGCCTATGGGGGTGTGTCAAACTATCATCATGTTTATGTTGTGTAGGCTGTAGTGGGGTAGCCCACAAGGGGTACAACCCAATTAGGGTTAGTACTTGTACCTGCTTCCTTTCTAGTTCATTCATTCTCGTTTATTCTGCTGACATGGTATTAAGAGCTGTTAGTTACTGCGGGCGTTTTCCCCTCATGGGCCCACCGTTAGCTGCTGCCCGTCGCGCGCCCGTGGCGTGCGTCGGTTTTCTGCCCGTCGCGTGCCCGTGGCGCGCGTCGGTTTCTGCCCGTCGCGCGCGTCGGTTTCTGCCCGTCGCGTGCCCGTCGCGCGCGTCGGTTTACTGCCCCGCGCCCCAGCGCGACCTGCTGCCCCGTGCCCCAGCGCGACCTGCTGCCCCGCGCCCCAGCGCGACCTGCTGCCCCCTCGTCGCCCCACTGCTCCCCGTCGCCCCTCCCCGTTTCGTCGCCCTCCCGTGGCGTCCCTCGCGTGGTCTCTGCCGTGCGTGGGGTGGTGGGGTGGTGCCCGAGAGTGGGGGAGGCGGGGGTGGGTGACTCGGCCTCCCCGCTCTCCTCTCTGTCCCAGCAGCGGCTGGTGCTGAAGGGGAGGGGGGGGGAGGGGGTGGTTGACGCCACTCTGATGCTTCGCCATGCTGCCGCCCGCCTTCTCCCTCTCCCTGCTGCTCGTGCAGCCGAGGAGGGGGTGGGGGGAGGGTGTTGGGGTGGCGGGTGTGACAAACCAGCGGCCGTCCCTCCTCCTCTCTCTCTTCCTGCCGCCCCTCCTGGGGTGGGGGGAATGGAGGGGGGGGAGGGTGAGGGGGTGGCGGGGGTGACCAGCATGCGCCAGCCCACCTCCTCTCTCTTCCTGCCGCCCCTCCTGGGGTGGGGGGGAAGGGGGGGGGGGGGAGGATGAGGGGGTGGCGTTGGAGGAAGGGTGGGGGGGGAAGACGTGAGGTTCCAGGGTACGGTTGACAAGGGGGGTGAGGTTGAGGGGGGTGGCTGAAAGGGGGCGTGGAATTAGGGGGTTAGTAAGAGGGGCTCGCCGCGCTAGGCTTCCCCCACCTCCTCTCCTCCCTCTCTCACCCCCCCCCCCCCTTTTGTAAAAAGGGGGTTCGTAAGAGGGGCTTGCCCGTGGCTCCCCCCACCTCCTCTCCTCATCCCTCTCTCACCCCCCCCCCCCCCTTTGTAAAACGGGGGTTCGTAAGAGGGGCTTGCCCGTGGCTCCCCCCACCTCCTCTCCTCATTCCTCTCCTCTTACATCTCTCTCTCTCTCGTCTCCTCCTCCTCGCATTCCTCTCTGTTGTCTTCCGTTGCGCAGGGTGTACCCCTTCAGGGGGTGTTATGCACATGGCTATTCCTGCATGCAGTTAGGGGGTGTGTCAGAATATATTTCTGTATAACTGCATGTAGTTCTATCTGTAGTGTAGTTATATTGCTGTCCTGCTTATGGTGCACCCCCTACTTGCTTGTCTCTTGTATAACTTGGGCCTTTGGCCCTTTAGTGAAAGCCTTCTTCTTTGTTCAACACTTTCGACACTTCCTTGCCTAGTCCAAAACCCTAGGATACTCCTTCTAAGTTATGAAGCTACTTTGACACTCCCCACAGGTACCGTTGCTCTTCATTATATATATATATATTATTCCAACACTTCCTTGTTTTTTCTTGTGAAAAACGAATATTTTTGTGTGACTTTGTTTATCTTCTCTTTCATTGTTTTATGGTCTGGGCTGGGCTGTCGATGGATAATCCGAAGACTTGCTGTGGTCGTTTTAATGTCCAAGTGCGCTACTTACATGAATCTCGTTGCCCTGCGCCTGCCCTTCGTTTTCCTTTCTGCGTGCTCTCACTGTTCTTCTCTCACGTGCCTCCCTTTCTCACCATGCCTTGTGCGCGTGCATCAGGCCTATTACGTGTTGAAGGGCGAGGCTATGGCGGGCCTCATCACCCCCATGGGAGCACCTACGAATCTCATGTAGCCATGAAAACGTGCAGGAGGCATAAAGAAGTCCTTTTCTCTCATGGGACCACATATCAGCACCAATACCTCTAGGAACTCTGCATCAAGTTAAACGCTTTGTCTTGCTAATTCCCTCTCGCTTTCCTTTCTCGTTCTGCCTACATCTTTTTGCGTCCTTCTCAGGCGACTGAGGGAGGGAGACGCCTTTGAGATTCCCAGGAGGTGGGCGCGTTGGATTTGGAACAATGGCCAGCAGCCGTTTCAGGTTCTCTCCGTGGCCGATACTTCCAATGCCGCTGACATCTCCATGGGCGCTCCAAGTGCTGCCGGCCGCTACACCGCCTTCCACCTCATGGGCGCGCAGAAGGAAGACTTTGGAAGCATTCTGCATGGGTTCAGGTGAGTTCGGCATGGCTTCATGTGACATTGGTTCAGGTGATTGACTCTGGTAGCTCTTTATGAATGTCAATCAACACAGCATTCCACCTCATGGGCGCCCAGAAGGAGGAGTTTGGAAGCATTCTGCATGGCTTCAGGTGAGATCACCGTGGCTTCAGGTAACATGAGACTGTGATTTGACTTGTATGGTAGCTCTGTCTGTATGGGTGTCAGTTTAGGTCTCGTGTTCTTATCCTGTTACTTCTCCCCCCCTCCCTCTCTCCCTTGCCGTCCTTGCCCCTTTCCCCCCAATGCTCCTTCCAAGCAGCCGTGATCTGCTGGCCCAAGCATGGGATGTGAAGAAGGGGGAGGTGCAGCAGCTGCTGGAGGGCCTTTGAGGTGCGTCAAAGGCCGCTTGTTTCCTTCAACGCTTGTCTCTCTCTTTTCTCTCCGTCCCTCCATCCGCTGCAGCAAGGACCTGCTGGCACAGGCGTGGGGCGTGGAGGAGGGGGAGGTGCAGCAGCTGCTGGCGGCGCAGCAGGAGAGCGTTTTCGTCAAAGTCACTCCGCAGCTTCGTGCAGAGCTGGAAAACTATGGGGAGGGTGAGGAGGAGGAGATTGGGGAGGCGGAGGACGAGGAGGATATTGAGGAGGCTGAGTGGTCTGAGGAGGAGGGTATTGATGAGGGGAATGATCAGCCGCACGTTGGCAAGGGAGCCAAGCGCAGTGTGAGCATCTTTACGGATTTCACTTACAACCTGGAGGCCCGCCAGCCGGACATTTACGTGAAGCGCGGCGGCAACATGACAGTTGCAAATGGATATAAGCTCCCAGCGTTCCGCAAAGTGGGCTTTGCAGTGGCGCGCTTCAGCCTGGAGGGCAACGCCATGACGACACCGAGATGGCTGGCGAATGCGGCGGCCATGCTGTATGTCACCAAGGGCAAGGGCCGTGTGGAGATCGCCTACCCCGATGGCAGGCAGGCGCTGCGCCATGACGTGAAGGAGGGGGACTTTGTGGTTGTGCCCGCCAGCTACCCACATGCTGCTGTGAGTGGATAGGACATTCGCTTACATGCTTATGTTGCCTTTTACGATAAGATGTGATTCGCCATCCTTTCCATCCCCTCGTTCGTACGCGCAGCTGGCGTATGGCGAAGGTCTGGAGTGCATCACCATGAGAGCGTATTCCTTGCCTCGTATCAAGAGAACCTCATAAAGGTAGCCAGGGGCCTGGTCCCAACGGAGGGGGGCGCGCCTGGCGGGGCGGGGGCGGCGGGGCAGCAGAGGAAGGGCGCGCGCATTCTGGCGGCTGAGACCTTCGCTCACCACGCCCCTCTGCCCGACTACCTCGACCACATCCCCCGCCGCCAGACCCTCGCCACCTGTACACAACGCTGCTCCCTCTTCTCGCTCTCTTCCCTGCCTTGGTTCCTTTGCTCTGCTGTTCCTTTCTTCTCACAGCCCGTCCCTGCTCTCCTTGGCTCTCATTTCTCTGCCCCCCTTGCCTCTCATTCCTCTGCTCCTTGCCTCTCATTCCTCTGCTCCTTGCCTCTCATTCCTCTGCTCCCCTTGCCTCTCATTCCTCTGCTCCCGCTGCCCCTCATTCCTCTGCTCCCTTTGTCTCTCATCCCTCTCCGCTGCTCATTCTTCTGCTCCTCTTGCCTCTCATTCCTCTGCTCCCCTTGCCTCTCATTCCTTTGCTCCCGTTGCCTCCTCTGTTGTGTGCTGAAGTGTATGCGTGCATGGCGGTGACAATCTGGGCCCATATTGTATGCTTCCTTTCCTCTGCTCTTCTTGCTCTCATTTCTCTGGATCCATATTATTTTTCTATTCCTCCCTTCCCCCTCCCTATCTCCCCACCCCCCACCTTCTTTTCTCCTCCCACCATGTGGGCGCACAACGGTGATGATCCGCTAGCAGTGCCTGGGGTTTGACCTGCACAGCTTGACTCACTCACCTCTTCCTTTCCCCTCTGCCCTCCCTCCTACTCCTCCCAGCGTGTGGGCGCACGACGGTGACGATCCGCTCGCAGTAACTGGGGCCGTACGACCTGCACAACGACATCTACAACATGACCTTCTACAACGGCTGCGCCTACAATGTCACCAGCCCGCTGCGCGTGTGGCAGTGCTTCAACTTCGGCAACGTGTGGGAGGGCATCCTCGACAACCCCGATCCCAACCCCTCGCAGTACCAGCAAGGCGAAATCTTCGTGCAGACCACGCCGGGGTACTGTGAGATGCGCATGAACCGCGGGGCTAGCGGCACTCTGCAGATGCTCCCCGGGGAGACGGTCAACATTGTGTATGCGTACTTGTGGGACTTCCGGCCCTGCGTGCAGGAGCTGCGCTTCGGCAACGGCAACAGCTACTCCATGACCAACACCACCGAGTGCACGCTTGCAGCTGTCATTTAGTTTAGACCTTTTGTGTGTGTGACTCACGTGGCTCGTTCTAAAAAACTTGAGGGTTGATAACAGGCGCATGATGGATGTGACTTGTGGTGCAGAAGAAATGTGATGCGGAGAGTTGGTGGAGGGGGAGGAGGTTTGGGGGGGATAGGTAATAATGTAAAAGAGTGTACCGGTAAATGTTAATGAAAATTTTCGTGAATCCTAACCAATAGGGATGTGGTTTGCCTCGCCATACTCCCCTCCCCACTGTCCTCGTTTTCATGCTCCCTTCTGTCCTGGCCTGGCCCATCATAACTCATCCCATCCCCTTGCATTCCTATCCATCTCATCCTCTTGATTCCCATCATCTAGATGCCATACTTTCTCATAGCGTGCCATGCCATGCCCTCAATTAGTACAACCCATGCTTTATTTGCAACATCCTAATGTCCAAAACTCAGGGTTATGCCTTGTGTGGATTAGGACACTACAGTACAGCATTCTTGGACAGCTCTAATAAGCATACGGTACATACAGTAGGACATTCAACCGACATGCTACTTTGTGCCCTGGTCATATACCGTACGGTACTAAAGCGCACACCACAATGCCACCCTCCCTAACCATCATTTCAGTACCTCAGAAGAGGCTTTGGGGTCCTATTTGCAGGGAATGGCAGCACATAGTGTTTCGGCATAGTGCCATCACGTATACCGTAAGTAAAAGGCAGGCGAATACGAGATACCATACCGGTACCATAATCAGCCTGCCTTCCCGTATCGCTGTCATGAGACGACTTTTTAGGGCGCCTCTAAAAAAGTAATCAGCCTGTCTTCCGTAGCGCAGACAAAGCTCTCCGCAGCCTTCCCCATCCACTCTTGTGCAGCTCCTGCAGCGGCAGCTTCTGGTGCTTCTGGGGCACAGGGTCAGCCTGTCCAGTGGGGGTGATCAGCCCCCCATCTGCCCCGCCCTTTCCACCTGCTTCACCACTGCTTTCCTGCTGCCCCGCAGCACAGCCCCCACGTGCAGCTGATTCTGCTGCTGAAATGCCCCTTCCGTCTCCTGCCGCCGCTGCTGCTGTGGCTGTTGCTGCGGTTGTGGCTGCGGCTGTGACTGCTACTGTTGCTGCTGTTGCCGTTGATCCTCTTCCTCTGCTCGTTGGGCTATACATGCCAGCGGTGCCAGCAGCACCGACTGCTGCTGCCGCCTCTGCTGGTGCTGCTGTGGGGGATGCAGAGTGCAGCAAACGGAGGGCTGCGATGGCCCGATCCAGCGTATCAACGGCTCGGAAGAGGCGGTGGTCGCTTGCACTCGCCATGTACCCATTACCACCGGTACCAGGGCTCTCTGAAGCTCTCAGCCCATACCGCCCATTCTGTGTAAACCTCTGCTCTCGTGCAGCGCTCGTCTGTACAGCGCCATTTTGTTGCAGCGAATCAGGAACAGGCCCTTTGTGCAGCTCAGCAGTCACTGCAGCTCTGCTTACACCACCCCCTGCCTCCGCCCCCACATTCTCCCCTGCTCCCCCTGCTCCTCCTCCTGTCCCTCCATCTGCTACTCCTGCTGCTCCTACCCCGGTCTCAAGACCACCCGCTCGACTTCCTCCATCCATCTGGAATCCCTCCATACTTCCACTTGCCTTCACCTCCCCAGCCCCGATGCCCTTCCCCCCTGGTCTTGCCTCCACATCTCCCCATTCCCCAGCCTCCACAATCTCTACCCCATCCCCATCGATGCTGCTGCCATTGCTGCTCGCTCTTCTAGACCCTGATGCCACAAGGGACTCAATCTTCGCCTCTACCTCTGCTCCGAGCTCTCTAAACGACTTCTCCTCGTCTTCTTTGCTGGCTAGGAGGATTCTTTCCCCAGCTGCCTGCCCGTTTTGCTGACCGCCCACCAGTTCCTGGTGCTTTCTCTGCTGCTCCGCCTCCAGTTGCTGCTGTTCAGCTGCCCGGGCAGCCCGATATTTCTCCATGACTGCCCGGACGTGATTGTAAAGGGGCTCGTCGTGGAGAGCTTGGTGAAACGCCTTTCCTTTGGTGCTCGAGGGATCGTCGTATATCCTGGCTAGCTCCTGACGAAAGGAGGGTGCGAGGGGGAGAGAGACACAGCGGAGGGAGGGGAGAAAGGAATTTGTTGCATTTACAAACGCCTTATCTTTGGTGCTCGACGGATCGTCATATATCCTGGCCAGCTCCTGACGATGGAGGGTGCGAGGGGGAGAGGGTGAGAGGGGGAGAGAGGGGGGGCAACAGAGGGGAGGGAGGGGAGAAAGGAATACATTCCAAACACAGCAAACTACCATAACACACTCACACAGACTGAGAGAGACAAGGCAAACCTCTGTGAACCGATACACACACCTCTGTGAACCGATACACACACCTCTGTGAACCCCTCTACACAGCCTTAAGAAACACTCCACACATCTCTGTGAAGTACTCTTCTCACCTCTTCAAACCGCTCTACACATCAGTGCGATGAACTCCATACACCTCTAGAAACCACTCTGCACACCTGTGAACCCACTCTACACACCTCTGTGAACCACTGGTACACGATCCCACCGCACTGCTGGATGATGAAGTTGACGAGCGCGGGAGGGAACTTGAGGTCCAGCGTGAATATGCACCTGAGGGATGACATACACAGGGGTGATAAGCGGTACAGAGGGGTGATACAGCCACATGGTTGATACCAGGAATAGGGTTGAGAGCATACAGTGTAGCAGGAAGAGTCACCTGAGCTGCAGAAGGGCTGATGGGAGAGACATGGTTGGAAGTGTTGAAGTTGAAGAAATGATTGCAGGTGATAACAAAACACGCCCACCAAACCACCTGATTGCACGCTCTTTCGTCCCTTGCATCCTCACGCCATAACTTACCCCCTACCCTACCACCCACTCCCCGTTGTCCTCCCCCCAACGCACCTCATGTGCGCTCGGCCCTCGCCCATGTCCTTGCCCTCCCGCATGTCACCACGGTAAGTCTTAACCCCTATCTCTGAACCTCCCCCCTTTGTCCCCCACCCCCACAACGCACCTCATGTGCGCCCGGCCCTCGCCCATGTCCTTCACAGCATACCCCCCGCTGATGCCCATCCGCATGTGCCCAGGCAGGGGCGTATTCACGCCACACCTTGCCCCCTACCACCCACTCCCTCTGAACCCCTTTTATCCGCTCCCAACGCACCTCATGTGCGCTCGCCCCTCGCCCATGTCCTTCACAGCATACCCCCCGCTGATGCCCATCCGCATGTGCCCAGGCAGGGGCGCGGGGGCGTCCTCCCGGCTGTATCCGCGGTTGGTGAAATCGGCAGTCGCGGGGTTCTCAGGCAGCTGCAGGGATGCAGGGAGGGTGATTGGTGGGGCACACTTGTGAAAGGTTGCAGGGTAGGGTAAGGAACAGTTATGAGAAGGGTCCTCCCGGCTGTATCCGCGGTTGGTGAAGTCCGCAGTCGCGGGGTTCTCGGGCAGCTGCAAGGAGGGCGAGAGGAGTGGAGAACATTTGAGAGGTTGCAAGCTTTATCCTTTTACAAGGAACAATTTCTAGCATAGGGGGGCATGGGGATTTCTAGGAACAATTTTTACAAGTCTTTATCCTTTTGCTTAGCGTTTTCTCATAAGTTCGCTGCTACTCCCATCATGAACCTGGAAGGGAGGGCAAGGGGGTTGTGGCGCCTTACGGATTGCAGGAGAAAGCGGGGGTTAGTGAGGGTTATGGTGCAGCGAGGGTTATGGTGCAGCGAGGGATGTGGTGCAGCGAGGGATGTGGTGCAGCGAGGGATGTAGTTCGCACTTCCAGCTTGTGTGGGTGTGGGTGGGTGTGGGTGGGTGTGTGTGGGTGACTCACCGTTCGCTGCACGGTTACGGTCATGCCAGAGGCAGCATCGTAGACCGTCACAAAGATGAGCGCAAACTCCTGCGGGGGTAGCGGCCATGGCACCTTGAACCTGCAGCGGTGTGAGGTGGTGGAGGTGGAAATGCAAGAGGTGGAGAAGGGGTGGGAGGGGTTGGACAGGGATGGGATGGGATGGAAAGAGAAAGAGGTGAAGGAGAGAGTCAAGCAATAGAAGAGGGTCAAAAGTTAAGGAAAGGGAGAAGCGGAAGGCGACTGGGAGGGAGTAGGAGGGAAGCCGGAGACGAGAGAGGAATGGGAGGAGGAGGAGGAGGAGGAGGAGGAGGAGGAGGAGGAGGAGGAGGAGGAGGAGGAGGAGGAGGGTAGTGGAGAGGGGGAGACGGGTTGGGGGAGCACAAAGGCAGGATACGTTATGGGCAGATGCAGTCACGATTTGAAGTGGCATAGGGGGGTATGGGGATATGACATGGTACAGCATGGCATGATACGCTATAGCACAGCATGGCACGGCATGGCATGGCACGGCATGGCATGGCACGGCATGGCATGGCATGGCATGGCACGGCATGGCATGGCATGGCACGCTAGCGCGGCACAACCTGCCATGGCAGGGCATGGATGGCATGGGGCGCGCACCGCATGAAGGAGAGGTGGAAGTTCTCGCCCACGCGCATGGCACAGCACGGTACAGCACGGCACGCCAGAGCACAGCACAGCAATATACAGCACGGTGCAGTACGGTACAGCACAGTGCAGGAGGTAGAGCGCGCACCGCATGAAGGAAAGGTGGAAGTTCTCGCCCACGCGCATGGCACAGCACGGTACAGCACGGCACGCCAGAGCACAGCACAGCAATATACAGCACGGTGCAGTACGGTACAGCACAGTGCAGGAGGTAGAGCGCGCACCGCATGAAGGAGAGGTGGAAGTTCTCGCCCACGCGCTTAATGTACCTCGACTCCTCACAGCGGTACGATGGCATCGTGATGTTGGGCCACCTGCGGAAAAGGGATTTTAGGGTGGGGGAGGCACGGTCAGTTAGTGGCGCATCAGTCACACGCCTCCTCCACTCGTTGCCCCACGCGCTTGATGTACCTCGGCTCCTCACAGCGGTATGAGGGCATGTGATGTTGGGCCACCTGCGGAAAAGGGATTTTAGGGTGGGGGAGGCACGGTCAGTTAGTGGCGCATCAGAAGCACGCCTCCTCCACTCGTTGCCCCACGCGCTTGATGTACCTCGGCTCCTCACAGCGGTATGAGGGCATCGTGATGTTGGGCCACCTGCGGAAAAGGGAATTCAGGGCGGGAGTGGCACTCAGTTCTGTTGCTTCAATGGGAATTTTACCCTGTTAGTCACTCCGCTCACTCTCTTTTCGTGTGTAAAAAAGGCGAGAGGGGCGGGAGAGGCGGCAAGGGTGGAAGGGGTGGGGAAGAAACGTGGGGGATGGGGGATGGGGAGGGGGGATCTTGTGGACGTGACTAAGAGCATGATCCGTTCTAAGCACAACTCGTTTCAAATTTCAACCACCACTCACGACAACCGCTACTCATTCAATACTCGTATATAACACAGCACAGCACAGCACAGCCCTGAGCACTGACCACTCCTTGAAGAAGGGAGCATCGCAGGACATGGCGAGGGCGGCATCGGCCGGCGCATGCACCACGCCCTCGATGCACGTCGTGTGGATCGCCGTGCCGTTGGGCCCCGGCCGGTGCAGAGTGCGGTACTCTGCTGCCTGCTCGCACGGCTGGGAAGAGGGGGAGAAAGGAAACGGGGCGGGGTGGGACAGGACGTGCAACACACACGAAGCAGGGGTCAGATCAGGGGGGAGGCCGTGCTGTTGGGCCCTGGGCGGTGCAGCGTGCGGTACTCTGCTGCCTGCTCGCACGGCTGGAACAGGGAGCGTGAGGGACGAGGCAGGAGGAACAGGGGTAGTTTGGGTGGTGCGGTGAAGGGGGATGGGGAGACGTGGGTGGGACAGGAGAAAGAGATGGCGAGGGAGGGCATGAAAGGGAACGCGAAGGCCGCCGCCGCTTTTCTTTTCCTCCTACCACTACCCGCTGCCAGCACTCATCTGCCCTCCAGTCGCATCCGTCAATCAGCCAATCACCTTCCATCGCATGTCCTTAGCGCCGCCCGTTTTCTCCGCAGCGCCACCAATCCGCACGGAGCGCAGGTCCTCCAGCAACCCCGCCATCTGCGCGCTCCAATACTCCACCACCGCTTCATTATCGCCCGCCATGCCACTATTGTTTTCGCCTTTTCCAATGCCGTCCTTGACTTGAACTCCGTTCATATCTTTCGGGCTGTCATTCTTGTCGCATTGATTTCCGCTACGCTCCAGGCTTTTTGTCATCTCGATTGTGCCGGACGAAACGACGCCATCCGCGGATTGTCCGCTCAGCTGCGCATCCGCGGATGGTCCATTCAGCTGCGCGCGAAAAAGATCGGTGACTGCTTCGCGGCTGGTCCACGGGAGCGACGCGACTGACCTGTCGAATGCGATCACGCCGTCTAGCAGCGCCATTCGCGGAGGATGCTACGCGGATGAGCCTCCGCGGGCGAGGCTGTGTGGATGATACAAGGGGACGACTACGCGGGTAATACTATGCGGATGATTCAGCGAGGTCGCAAAGCTTGGAGATTCAAGTGATGCTGGTGGGTGGGATTCCAGGCGTAATGGGGGATGCGCTACCACGGGGAAGACAGAGTACACAGCTGGAGACCAGGCTTATCCGTATAAATATACTGGAGCACGTTAGAGCTACGAGCTGTTTTTTTTTTAGGATGTCTCAAAGCATGGTGAAGCGCCGTGCTGCTGTGACTAACAATCTAGGCTCGCAGCCATACGCTCGGGGTCCTGCTGAAGTCTGCGTCTAAAAGATTGTGCAAATAAGTTGCACTCACACGGCGCGGATAACTTTCACTAGTAAGTGCCAACGAGCAAGCAGTGCCACTTGGCTAAGAGTTCCCTCCATGCATTTGTGTGATGAGAGAGGCTCGCGGCTGCGAGAGACAGCAAAATGGGGGAGAAACTGGTTTCAATGCTTCCGCATTTCCGCGGAGCACGGTACGGGGCGTAGCGAACAGCGCAAGCTTAGAAAAAGGCACATAACCGAAGTGAGGTATGGAGGGCGCGAGCCCGACCGACCTGGGGGGAATCTCCAAGAAATTCGGTTTGGTCGGTGGTGATGTGCTGGGTGATGGCACAAGCCTCTTCCTCCCTGCTCTGTCCTGGAGTCTGGACCTTCGACGCAAAGCAGACGCTACAGACCAAGCAAATGAGAGGCTGATGTTGACGCAACGTTGGGTATGCAAGTGCAGTGTATCAGATCGAAAAAGTGTTCTTAACCATCCTCGTAGTAAGGAATGAGCCAACCTCCTGTATAGTTATTCAAATAGTACACATAATCAGGTAAGTCCAGATGTGCCAAACAATTTCTCAAATATGTGGCTCATTGCATCAAACGGTATCTCATAGCGCCAGAAGGAAGCGGCTGATGCAATTTGTGTCGAAGTCTTCTTCAGCCTGTAATCTTCAATTTCACAGTAGCGGTCCTTCCAATCAGCAGGCTCAATCGCCTCCACACCCAAGTCAGGAACTCGATCCTTCGACTGTAGCCTATCCATCTGCGTCCAGTCAGCCACAAAAGTGGAAGCTCTCCTCCTGAACTTGGTATTGAATTCGGGCCATGCCTGGTACTTGTAGTGGAAAATAGCTCCATGCTTATGGCCCACATTCATTGTGCAGTACTGATGCTTCAAGCTTGTGAAGTGATGTATCACGTTGTGCAAAGGAGGATCTAAAGCTTCAGTCAGGATAACTGACTTGTGGCGATCAGGAAGCTCCAGCCTGCATGTGTACCCAGAAACAACTCCCCTTTCTGGATGCTCTTGGTAACCTGATGGGCCAAATATCAGGCAAGGCAGAGCAATCTGCCCAACCTGTTCACAGGAACCGTTTCTACCTGTAAGCATCGCTGCTGCAGCATGCTTTTTAGCCAGACCTTTCACAAACTTGCGGAGAAGAGAAGCATACTGAATTCCAGCATCAAAGAGCTTCCGCAACTCAATTTTCTTCACCATCCTTGCTGGGAACACGAACTCGTCCACATCTACGAACATGACCCACGTGCAGAGCTTCTTGGCTTGTAGAGCACAATGAGAAAAGCCGCCTTCCTGGGACTTCAGCCAGGGCCAGCTACGAATTGTGGTTGAGAATCCAAAACCTCTTGCACGACCTGTCTCCTGCGCTTCGTCAACGGATGCCTGAAGCCCATCTTCACTGCCATTGTCATACACAAAGAAATGCTCCACACCAAGAAATCCGTGGTACAGGAGCCACTCCCCCATGAACTTTGCGCTGTCCAGAACCATTGTGCATGCACACAGGTAGTACTGCTTCACGGGGGACTCGTCAATGGATGTGTTGGCATGGGGATACCCATCCCGGAGAACAAGTTGTCCGCTCCTCCTGGCTTGACTGTGGGTGGCTGCATGTAGTGACTCGCCAGATACTGAGCTGGTGGAGTTGAGCGTGGAATTCGGTCTACAGACGGAAGCTACAGAGGGTAAAGGTGATCCATGTAGTGTTAGCGTGACAGGAAAGTCGAGACAGCCATATGCTGACTGTGTAATATTGGTCTGAGAAATTGGACAGAGCGCAATCTCCTGCGAGAGTATCAACGGAGCTGCCGCAACTCCGTCAATCAGACATTTGATATGACCGTGAAGACTTCCGTTGTGAAGGTGAGCAATTCCTTTCGCCCAGACATACAGCCCTTCGGGTTCAGCTGCCGCAGCATACACTAATCCATTCCAGGACGCCTGATGAACTTTGCGAATGAGCAGATCCACACTGCCCGAGTCGTAATAAATCCGTAGCATAGTGGGTTCCATGGAACCATCAGTTCCATTATCACGCGAACAGATAACGTGGACGGCTTGGTCGGCGAAATATACGAATGTCGCGTTGCTCCATGACGTTTCTCCCAAGGTAATAAATCCGCATGTCGCAAAAATAATCCGGCGTCCAGCAAATTCCTCGTCGATGCACTCGCTGCTGTTAACTTGGAATATTGCTAAGAACCTGCCTTCTGGTAGATTGATTGCTGTCAGCTCCCCCTGCCAGGCTTGCGTAGGCTCTTGCAATTGATTGAAGCGATAAGAGGATTCTGTCTTGCGCAGGCTCCATATGATAACTGCATGGAACAGTCAACTTCAGAAGAATGTATAGCGAGCATCACACATCGCCGTCGATACTCACGCATCAACAAACACACAGCAACGCTTAGGCAAAAAGGGACTGCACGACGTGCTAGCTCTCCAGCAGTCGACTGTGAAAATGCAGCTGAAGAAAGCGTTGAGGTGCTAGGGACACCGCTAGACGCTCGCGTTTCACTCCCCGATCCCTCCGTCGACCGTCGGATCCGGATCAGTGTGTGCTCCATGAGGGAGAACCGTGGACTGACTGGCTGACAATGCTGCAATGATTCAGGTAAATGTGTGCAGTGCAGCTCATGTTAGCAGCAACATGGCCTCGATAACTTCTATGTGGTGGCTTCGCGAGTAACTTTCTTTTCGATTTGACACAAGACAGGCAGGGACATGTTTTGCGAACAACTTTCTCCAAAGAGGCGAAAGGAAATGAATTTCGAAGACATTCGCCACAGCATCTTTCTGGCCTCCCTGTGCGAAATAGCTGCAGCTAAATTTCGTCAATATTGTCCCTTGGGTGCGAAGTGCTACAGAGTTTTGCCGAAGTGAAAGTAATTTTGGTTCCCAAACAGCAGCAAAACAGCCTCTAGGTATTCTGTGAGCTATATACTGTACCCTAAATTCCGCCATGGCTTCCGCATCATCCGCCCAGCCGGCCATCAGATGGTCAAGTAGGCTGGTCGTAACGCTGAAACGTGGATTGGCAGGAAAGAGGTCCGATCAGCGGGCTACCGTCGTTGCTCTAGGCCTGCGGAAGCGAGAATCAACGGTTGAGTTGCCTAACAATCCGTCAGTCATAGGGATGATCGAAAAGGTGCGCTCACTTACCAGGCTATGACGTCCCAGAACTCCGTTTTTTTGTCGCACAGTCAACTGTAACTGCGGAAAGTTTGCATACTCCAGTCCATCGCCGTTTGCGGTGATTCCCTTGAAATGCAAGGCTTGAGAAGGTGGAAGATACCATGAGTTTTCTACGCACCACTTCGACTTTCGGACCTCCTCTGTGTGGAGGGCGGTATTCCGACGAGGCACTAACCCGTTGCTTTCTTTTCATGCCTTCGCTTCCAGGTCAAACGGCTGCTCCAGGTGGAAACTAAGGAGATGTACGAAGAGAGACTAGCAGCGGAGCGGCAACGAAAGGAGTGGAGGCCACCTCTCCTTGTCAGACACCTGCCGCCTACTCAACCTGCACAAGAAATATCTCCTTAGATTAGCTCCTGACACGAGGTGACATACCTCTCTCCCATCCACCATAGCATCTTCTAACCAGCAAGCCAAATTGCCCAACGTTAGGAATGTTGGTTAGGGCGGGAGACTCAACATTTTTCGGTGCCAGGATCACACTCAACCTAAGTTAGGAAGGTTGAGCCAATTCGGGGGTTCTTGGCCTGTATGTAGTGAGTTTCTGTAAGGAAAATTCCTTTTCCTTACTTCGCGTCCCTGCTCAGCGCGTACACCACTGTTCCCACCCACAGCACCCAACAGTAATCCGTTACCACTCGCGACACTCGCTTCGACACCATTCCCGCCACCATTCACGACGCGACCCAACCTCACGGTTCGGTTGGTAACCCGCGCTCCGGACCTCCGCCTCGACACTTTCCCAACCTCGGCACCAGGCCCGTCGCGCACCCCATTTTCCACACATTACCGTTACCACTGTAGTTTCGCTATATATTCTTCGCTCATGCCTTCGCTCATTGTACTCTTGCTTCGATAGTGCAATTCTCTCTCGTTCACTCAATTGCACTCGTAACACTTGGTTATCAGAGCCTACGATCTCTTCTCGGACCGCACCCACACCTTCGCTTCCCCACTATCTCAATTTTTGGGGGGGGTAGACGTCTCGCAGCGAACAAGCACCGCCGCTCGAAATGCTCTCTCGTAAGCACGCACGGCCACGACAGAGGCTCCCGCTGAGTTTGCCCGACACCCCCGCCATGGCCGACATTAGTCTTGCGACATTGACGCAGGAGCAGCTCGACCGTCTCGTACGCCAACTCGAAGATTCGGCACTCGAAATCGCGACACTCACGGCGGAACGTGACTCCGCCCGCCAGCAATCAACGGTGAATGCAC